GGGGGGGGAAATGAGGACCTGATGCCGGGGGCTTAACTGGAGAGGAAATGTTTTGGGAATGATGAGGGCAATGAATGTACAAATGTGCTTTACACAATTGTTGTATGTATGTATTGTGATAAGAGTTGTATGAGCCCCTAAAAAAACGATTAAAACAAACAGCAAATGGCAGAGCAATATCACGCCTTCACGTGAGTAATGGCCACAGGACCAGGTCTCTGGTCTCCACATAGCGCCTGGCCTCTGACCCCATTTCAAGCTCGACTTTATTCCCAGGCCTCAACCCCCAGAGTAAACTCTGCTCAGAGTGAAGGCAGGTCATGGACAGCAGATCAGAGGCCCTTCCCTGGCTGGGCAGAAAGAAGGAAACCAGTTCCCTGGCTTGAGAACCTCCCCACAGTGGGGCAGAGCTCAAGCAAAAGGCTTTAGCCTCACAGAGACTACGAGCCCAGGTGAGGACTGAGACCCAGAAGCAAGCTCTCCCTGGTCTGTGCCCATCACAGGAACCCTGGTGGCTAATGTCAAAGATGGCAGTTCAAAACCACCAGCCAGTCTGCAGGAGAAAGCTAAGGCTCAGCCAAACCCACAGGGGCAGTCCCATCCTATTCTACAGAGTTGCTCCGAGTCAGAATTGACTTGATAGCAATGGTTTGGTTTGGGCTCTTTAGGCATGGCCTGAGCAGGCAGGGCAGATGAGGCGTAGGGGAGAAAGCCCCCTGGGGAAAGGCCCAAGAATGGAAGGGTGCTCCTGGCCCCTGGGCCCCAAGTCTGTGGAGACTAGCTGGAAAAAGCCACAAGCAAAAACAAGCCCAGAGGGGAGCCCAGAAACATGGCTGCACCAGACTCCAGAGCCAGCACCTCCGCCCCTTTCTCCTGGTAACTGAACACCCATCTATCTGCTGGAGAGCAACAGTTTGGGCCACAGAGGAACTGGAAGCGCTTTAGGGCAGTCTCCTCGGACAGGGTGAGCATGTGGGCCACTTGGGGCCCCAAGACGCACTGGGAAGTAAGTCTACTGCGGTCTTCCAGGAAGTCTGCCACACTGGGAAGAGAGCTCCCTGATGAAGGCTGTGTGTCTGCAGCCTGGGCAGACGGGAGGGACCTTCCTCCAGACCTCTCTGCCCCCTCGTTAAGCGGCCCAGTAACACTTTTCCTGCCTGGGCTCTACTTGCCTGGAGCCGTAGAGGAAGGAGTCAGGAGTGATCCTATTCCACCACCAGACAGTGAACTCCCATTCCGAGCAACCTTCTCTGTCACACGGAGATCTGCTCCCAGGGGTTCCAGGGCTGTCCAGCTCCACTGAAACAGACTGCCTCATCGTTCTCCCATGGGCGGCTGGAGGGTTTCAAACACCAACCTGTCCTCTTGTAGCCAAAAGCTTCCACAGAAGAATCCCAATGGGAAGGAGGACAACAGAGTCTCAGCTTCCTGTGGGTTTCTGGAGCCCTGGGAGCTGGGGGAGCCTGAGACCACTGTCCTGAGACAATGTCCCAGCGCCAACTCCCTCCTGAAGGCTCTGTAAAACCAAGCGATAGCTCGGCACATCAAAGACACCGTCTCTGGACTGCGTTCAAAATGCCAACCGCACCGGGAGAACTAGATGGGAACCTTTCGGGGCAGCGAGTCCACACTGTGGGACGAGCGTGGCTGCACAGCTATGTGCAGACTGTTCGCGCTGCGTCCATTCTCAACAACAGTCTCTGGGTGAACACCTCGGCCTGGGGGAGGTACACCTTCCTGGCTCGACCCCGAGATGCTGCCCTGAAGGCCTGGAACGCAGGGCCCAGATCCCAGGAGTTCTCGAGAGTGGGCGGAGGCAGAGCCAGCCGTGTGTTACACCAAGCTCAGTCATGAAACAATAGGTACCAGTGGGATGCCCGCCTCACTTTTAAGATGAATGCTGACCTCACTGCATCACGTCACGAGGCACATTTGGACAAGTACAGTGTGCATCTAGAGAAGCACGATCCTATTTCCGGCCAAGTGCAAAACCTGGCCTCGATGGAGGCAAGCGGGTCTTCCAATTGCAGCAAAGATGACAGGGTAAGGAAGCAGACTCACTTCACCCTCCTGTGTTCTCCACCAAACACAGGAGCCGGCAGCCTCCAGATGTTCCTGCACCAGCCTGGCTTTGCCTGGCAGTCGGGTGCTCTGCAGCCCAGTGGCTTGGGGTGGGAAGGCTGCCTGCCCACTCCCCGTTCTCTGCAGCTCAGCAAGGACACCAAGGCTCAGACCCCTCCTTATTTTAGGGATTCACAGAAGCTAGAACACAGGAGCTCTGCCGGGGCTTCTGCCCTGGGAAGGGGACACGAGCCCTTCAACACAGCCCTCAGGCTGTGTCTTTGGGGGAAGGGACGGACATAAAGAAGGGAGTTTTCTCATATCTCAGTCCAAGAGCACAGCACCCCAGGATGGTATGTGATTGAGTGGCATAACACAGCACTGGCATAGGCTACAGGGGCCAGTGGAGGAGGCTTCCCCAAAGACGCGTGCCAGGCAGCTGTCTGTAGGACAGAGTCCCCAGGAGGAGAGAGAGGCCCCCTGCTCCCTCCACAGGGTTAGCAGAGGGTCCTCGTGCACATTTAGCAGGGCATGAGTTTGTGGAAACTATGCAAGGTCAGGAAAAGAACCAGACAGAGGGTTCAAGGGCACCATGGCCAGCGTTCACAGAAGGCCGGGCACTCAGGAAACTTGCTATGGTCTTGGGGAATAATCAGTCCATCGCTCAGCACTGCTGGGAAAGACCCAAAGGGATCCAACAATGTCTAAGTACATGAAATGTTTCCTACCACCAAGCTTAAGAAAATGTAAAGTACAAAAATGCCCAGCACCCCAAAAGGTGATATCCAGAATGCTTGGCACCCAGACAGAGAAGCCAGAAAACACAGCCTACAAATCAAACTCTGAGCCATCAGGTGAGACCAATCCAAATGGTACCTAACCCCAGACCCACTCCACTGGCTGCCATGGAAACCGGTGCTGACTCACGGCAGCCCCAGAGCACACCTTCCCACAGGGCACCCAAAGCGGGAGGTCCTCCTTAGCAAAGCACACTGCCACTTCCCCCCTGGGGAGGGCGGACTTCGGGGTTGGTAGTTGAGTGCTTTACCCACGGGGCGGCCAGGGCACCTCAGAACTGACAAAGAACTCCTGGAAAAGAACAGGGCGACTCAGATTAAACTTTCCGAAATGAAAATGATCTATCTCCGGTGAAAGGCACCCTCGTGCGAGAGCAACTGAAAATCCACCCGAGGAAAACGACACACCTGGACCCACCAGCACCGCTCAAAAAGGAACTTCCAGCAGAAAACAGAACGTTTGCGACCATGGATCAGGGAGGGACGGTTTAGTTATAAAGTCCCCAAAATCAAGACCCGTCGAAGAATAAAGTGATAAAGTGAGCTTCCAAAAGATCAAAGCTATCTGCGCTTCTAAAGCCACTGCTGAGAAGACATAGACAAGCCATGACACGACGGGAGAAAATCTTGGCGGCGGAGCACGTGTCCGGTAAAGAACTTGTACCCAGAATGCATCGAGAGCTCCCAACTCGACAGTAAATAACCAAACCAATGTACGGTGGAGGGGCCGTGGCGGGTACAAAGGTTTTAACTGACAACTCACTCCAAGACAGATGTACAGGAGGCAAGCAAGCAGACTA